GCAGAAGGTCTGCGGCTGGAGGACTAGGGCTAGCAAGGCAGTGGCTGGCGGACTTGGTGAGGTGGCTGGTGAAGGACTGGGAAGTACATATCCCACATTCATGTGCAGATAAACTGGGAGGAAGAACTGGGAAGCAAGACAGATTGGGCAACCCAGAGTTAAAGTGCAGGGAAATAAAGCCTCAAACCTCCGATTAAAAACACCAGTAGGGGTTGAGGCAGCAGTGGGAGAAACTCCCAGCCTCACAGGAGAGTTCATTGGAGAGACCCACAGGGTCCTAAAATGTACACAAGCCAACCCACCTGGGAATAAGCACCAGAAGGGCCCAATTTGCTTATGGGCAGCAGGGGAAGTGACTGAAAACTGGCAGAGGGCTGAGCAAGTGGCATTGTTCCCTCTCAATCGCCTCCCCTACATACAGCACCCAGCAACCTGGGTTGCCTTGCCCTGCTGAACATCTAAGGCTCTGCCCGTTACTACACACCAAGACAAAAAAATGGCCCAAATGAAAGAACAGATCAAAGCTCCAGAAAAAATACAACTAAGTGACAAAGAGATAGCTAACTTATCAGATGAACAGTTTAAAATACTGGTAATCAGGATGCTAACAGAATTGGTTGAATATGGTCACAAATGAGATGAAAAAATGAAGGGTATGAAAAGTGAAATAAAGGAAAATGTACAGGGAACCAATAGTGATGGGAAGGAAACCGGGATTCAAATCAATGGTTTAGAGCAGAAGGAAGAAACAAACATTCAACCAGAACAGAGTGAAGAAACAAGAATTCAAAAAAGAAAATGAGGAGAGGCTTAGGAACCTTCAGGACATCTTTCAATGTTCCAACAACCAAATCATAGGGGTACCAGAAGGGGAAGAGGAAGAGCAACAAGTGAAAGACTTATTTGAACAAATAATAAAGGAGAACTTCCCCAATCTGGCAAAGGAAATAGACTTCCCCAATCTGGAAAGGAAGACCAGGAAGCTCAGAGAATCCCAAAGAAGGGGGACCCAAGGAGGAACACACCAAGGCATATCATAATTACATTAGCCAACATTAAAATGAAGGAGAGAATCCTAGAAGCAGCAAGAGAAAATGAGACAGTTACCTACAAAGGAGTGCCCATAAGATTATCAACTGATTTCTCAAAAGAGACCTTGCAAGCAAGAAGGGGCTGGAAAGAAGTATTCCAAGTCATGAAAGGCAAGGACCTACATCCAAGATTACTCTATCCAGCAAAGCTATCATTTAGAATGGAAGGGCAGATAAAGTATTTCCGAGATAAGGTCAAGTTCAAGGAGTTCATCATCACCAAGCCCTTATTATATGAAATGTTAAAGGGACTTATCTGAGAAAAAGAAGGTCAAAACTATGAACAGTAAAATGACAACAAACTCACAACTATCAACAAAACCTAAAAAAACAAACTAAGCAAACAACTAGAGTAGGAACAGTTTCACAGAAATAGAGATCACATGGAGGGTTATCAGTATGGGAGTGGGAGGGGGTGAAGAGAGAAGATGTACAGAGAATAAGTAGCATAAATGGTAGGTAGAAGATAGGGGAGTTTAAGAATAGTATGGGAAATGTAGAAGCCAAAGAACTTATATATATGACCCATGGACATGAACCGAAGGCAGGGAATGCGGGTGGGAAGGGGGTGTGCAGGGCAGAGGGGAATAAAGGGGAGAAATGGGACAACTGCAATAGCATAATCAATAAAACATATTAAAAATAAATAAATAAAATAAAATATTTTACAATTTTTACTTACAAAGCCTGCAGGCATCCAAATTATAAAAAGCCCTTACAACAAGATGGCCTGACTTGCCAAAACAGCCAACAGAAGTAGACAAATATTTAAAAGGTTATGCAATGCTTTGCTAAGTTATCACAATACTAGGAACTGAAAAATAACCCAAAGACCAAGAGAATTAATCATCCTGGCCTGAGAAGTCCTATAGACTGCCAAAAATATACATCATTGCTTTAGAGTAAAAAGCCCTTGCTATGGTATGTTACCTCAGCAACAGACCAGCAAATGGTGCAGTAATAAAGTAAGAATTTACAAAAGCAAATTGAACAAAAGAACAATCAGTACAAAGTTCCAAACTACATTCCATCCCCTACCTGATTGTACAAACTATTCACGTTAAAGGCAGACTCAGCTCTTAGGTGGGAACTGTCATGTTCAGAGGACTCACATTTCCATATGAAGGGGCTTCAGCTGGATTAACCCTTGTGGCTTCAGCATCTGCCTCTATAAAAGGAGGCTCCATGACAAAATGTTTGGTTGTGGTTTGGAGCATTTGCCTGTAGGCTGTTATTTAAATCTGTTTGTTTACTCTTTCTTCAGCCTTAGTGCATGTGGCAAGTGTCTTGAAGCCAGGATTCACATGGGTCCTTTACAGCTTAGTTTCAGATGCCTTGTAAAAGAGTGCCTCTCTCTCATAGTAAATTAGCAAAGAGAGTTCTAAATATGATCTAGTATCCCATGCCTGACCAGAGGGGAAAATGTACTGATCAAGGCGAAAATTTCTACTCCAGTCACAGCAACATTTCTTAATTACAAATGAGTAACTTAGTATTCTGGTTCTACCCCAATACACGTGCATTTTAATTAGTACAAACCAATTTCTCAGAATTTGATCACCCCCCTAAGCAGTGAAAAAATAAATCTCTGTGCTTTGAAGTGAGGGGCTAGAGTTCTTCCAGCCTGCCCTGAAATGAAACATCTACCTCTTCCAGTAGCACTTCTACAGATTAGCGTACTTCTATATAAGGTCTCGGGTAAGAGGCTTCTTTTAGAGCAAAATCTTAGGAAAAGCTCTGCTTATTCTGTGGACTATGAAACAGAATATAGTTTCTTTCTTTTCCCTTTCTGCTTTACAACCAGGAAGCCTAGCAATAATTGTAAAGGATCTTTTAGAAGTGGTTCTCAAATCTCCCATATTTGTGAAATACTTTTGAATGTTAAAATGTGGGACAGTCAACTTGAATTAATTAAACAATTTAAAACAATTCTAAATAAATTGTTGTACCATCTCAGGGGGCCTAGAATGCATTCATAAGTAACCCACTATATATATGGTCTCCTGTGATCATTGTAGACCTGAGAGAACTATTCCTACCTAGACAGTGAGTTCTTATATGCTCGAGAGACAAAACTGTCTATATTCCAGTGAGCCACTTCTTCCTTCCTTAATGCTATGGTTTGCCTTTGACTTCTAACTTGAAGAAAAGTGTACAACATGCTCCATATTAACATTACATAGGATGAACATAATGTTATATAACAAAAATTACAGTTATGTTTCTATGAAAACTTTGCTACATACTGTATCATCTCAGAACTCTAGAGAGAACTAATCTTACTTGTTTTTAATTTCTCAGAACTCTAGAGAGAACCAATCTTACTTGTTTTTAATTTCTTCTTGTTTTAATTGAAATTTATTGACAAAATTTTACTTTGTTTATTCCCAACATTTTACTATTTTACTGCATGTATGTTTTGCCTTCTTAAGTTCTTTGTGGAGTGAGGCGTGATGTTTAAAAAATAAATAAAATACAGAAAAGAAATTCTACTTTCTCTCCGGTGCTTACTCTCTACTGCCCTCTGCAGTTAAAATGAAAGAATAAGTGAGTCACAAACTATTGCTGTGCTACCTAAAGTCCAAGAGATCCCTACCCAACAAGAAGGAATGTTTAAAGTAATTGGTGATCTTTAAGACACTAACCATTATCAACCAGACTCTATCTATTCACAGGAAAGATTTCCCACCCCATTTTCTAAAGAACTGCCTAACTCCTGCACCCATATACAAACGGACATCAAACTTCTCTCTTCTTTTAGGTCAAGGCTAAGGGCCTCTATGTCAAAGGTCCTTCCGCAGACAGTGCAACTCGTCTGTGCTTTACAAATATCAACAAAGGTTTACAAATGTCAGTGCCTTCAATGCAGCAGAGATAATATGAGATCTTGCTTTTTGTTTTTACAAAAAGTGCACGGCAGCTGCAAGATAACCAGCAAATGGGCAACTTCGATTTTATTTAGAAAGGACCATTACTTATGCACGGATTATCTTCTTCAGTCACACTACTTTGTATGGATAGCAACACTGTCAGTGATGTCATCTTCTAAAACAGACGCCAATATATAGGCATATTGTGCCAACAGCCCAAATCCATGACCTGGGTGGTACAATCTGGGTAACACTATTTATTATTCCTTATCTGAACCCTAGAACCCCATAGAAAAATAATGCCACTCTGATGGTTGTTCAAAGAATATGATGTGTGGGAAACAAAATCAAGTCCCTGTATGATTTTATTTACATTCTAACATCTACTTGCAGGAAGCCCATCACAGAATTTAACACCATTGTGTGCCTATGAATATGTCGATGTCATTTTATTTTTTGTATTAGTAGCAGGCTTAAAAGTTAACAACCACACACTTTCTTGGATAAGAGTATTTCTAGCGAGGATGTTTTCTAAAGGATTGAGGTCCAGTGTGTATTCGCGTAGCATTCCATAACCTTTCCACAACTGCAGGATCAGAATAATTTACAGCATTCCTGACAGAGGAGGCAGCATTGTTTCATTGTTCGGGGTATGAACAATTTTGAAAGAGTTATAGCTTTTAGTTTCATCTCTGCTTACACTCTGTGATTTGGTCGATTCATTCTATCTACCTACTCTTATAATAGGCAAAATATTAAAGCAGATTAAAATTTTTTCAGTCAGGAAATTTAAGCTTTCTGAGCCGAATGATGTTTCTTTAAAAGTTGCGTAGGAAACAGATCCAAGAAGACTTTTCACTCGTTTAAAAATACACACTAAGCACCTACTACAGAGGCAGGTAGGCTCTACTTACGGGTTACCGAGCTGTCTTAGAAAACCGCTTATTAGTCACCTGAGAGCGGAGCGGAGGCCCCGCCCTCAGAGGGGCGGGGCAACGAACGACCGGGTCCTCCCTCCGTCACGTGGTACGTCGTCTTCTCCGCCCTCTGAGGACACAGCCTGCGTGCGTGCCTCCTGAACGCGAGAGATTACCGCGGGGCTCGAAGCATGGCTGAAAGCGGCCGGACGCCTCAGGCCCGGGCGCTCTTGCAGCAGTGCCTGCACGCCCGGCTGCAAGTGCGCCCTGCCGAGGGGGACTCCGAGGCCCAGTGGGTGGAGGTAACGTCGACTCCGCGCTCCAGTTATCCTCCGGTGCTGGGGCGATTCTTTCCGCGTTGTGTCGGTGGCTCGTTCCTACCCCCGCCCCCCTACCCCGCGTCTTCCGGGAGTCGGCCGCGTGGCACTCTGCATGCTCTGTGGGTGGCCCGGGACTAATGGCCAGTCTGCGCAAAGCTTTCCACAATGGCCTGCCTCTCTTTGTCTCAGCCCTGCCCCACCAGCCCCACTCCTTCCTGATTTATTCCTCCAGAGAAGGAGCATGTTCCCTGCTTAGCACCTGGGGAATCTGAACTTCCGCTCACCACCTGCTTGCCAGAGCTGGGCAGACTTTAGACCTAACTGCCTCAGATCTCTGGCTTAAAAGAGCCTAAAGGCTGTGCCACGCCCTTCGCTTGCTGTGCTTGGGCGGAGCTAGTGGGTTGATTTATTGCAAATGGTCAGTTCTGTTTTGACTTGATTTCCCTGTTAAGGTTGACTGCACCTGGGTCAACAGAGAAATTAGATTTTCCAAGAAACAGTTCTTTTGGCAAGGAACTTTTAAAAGTCTGACTTATTTCCAAATAGAAATAAAGGCCACTGTTACAATAACATCGTGTTATAGAACACATTTCCTCCAAAGAGTTTAAAACGTTTACACCAATATGATTTCCTTCTACTTGCTTATTTGCCTTTTTGAGAAAACCTGCCCCCACTTTTGCAAAAACAAATAAGATGTTATTTGAGGCCCCTGACTTATTTTTGGAGTAAGATGAAATGAGGAAGAATGTTAGTTTATAATTAAGACTTTTGTAAGTCCTAGTGAATGTAGGAGCATCACATACACTCATCTTACCTGCAGAGTTTGGTCCCAGATCTAATATTCCTTAAGTCCTAGTCATTATTTTAAATACTATCCATAAACTATGATGTGGGTGATTATTCTTATACCAGAATCTGTTACCCTCTGCTAATGTGGAAATAAAAGCATAAACATTCCTATATTTCCCCTCCCCTTTTCTTTATGAAAAACTCATGTTTCTTATTTTCTTAATAGCCTTTTTTGAGATCTTGATTCCTCTTCCTTATGTTTTCTTCCTATATTTGCCATCTTCCTATATTTGCCATCTTAACTACAGAACTGCCTATTTTTATAGTTGCCTCATGGGACAGTAAATCCCAAACTTGTTAATCGTTTAGATTTCTTCCATGCCTCTTTATTTTTTTATATCCTTCATGCCACATTTCCTTAGGCAAAGTCACAAACATTTAGCAGGCTTTTAAACGATCAATCTTCATTTATAGTTTTAAAAGCTATTTTAGAGTACTTCCAGCCAAGATGGAGGCATAGGTAGATGCACTTTGCCTCTTCACACAACCAAAAGAAAGACAACAAATTTAAAAACAAAAAATAACCAGAACTGCCAGAAAATTGAACTGTATGGAAGTCTGACAACCAAGGAGTTAAGAAACATTCACTCAGACTGGTAGGAGGAGTGGAGAGGGGCAGACAGGGTGGAGATGACTCATGGCAAGGCAGCAGCTGGTAGACTGGGCGAGGCAATGGCTGGCAGAGCAGGCGGTCCCACATTTGTGTGCAGATAAACCGGGAGGAACAACTGGGAGAGAGACAGACCATGCAACCCAGGGTTCCAGTTCAGGGAAATAAATCCTCAAAACTTCTGACTAAAAAAACCTGTGAAGGTTGAGGCAGCGGGAGAAGCTCCCAGCCTCACAGGAGAGTTCGCTGGAGAGACCCACAAGGTCCTAGAATGTACACAAAACCACCCATCCAGGAATCAGTACCAGAAGGGCCCAATTTGCTTGTGGGTAGTGGGGGATGTGACTGAAAGCTGGCAAAGAGCTGAGCAAGTGGTATTGTTCCTTCTTGGACCCCCTACCCCCACATACAACGCTACAATGAAGCAATGGGGGTTGCCCCACCCTGGCAAAGGCTCTGTCATCATGTAACAGGCACACGAAGACTATATATATATATATATATATATATCAAATGAAAGAACAGATCAAAGCTCCAGAAAGAAGTAGAATTAAGTGATGAAGAGATAGCCAACCTATCAGATGCACAGTTCAAAACACTGGTAATCAGAATGCTTACAGAAATGATTGAGTATGGCCGAAAAATAGAGGAAAAAGTGAAAGGAAAATGTATAGGGCACCAGCAGCAACAGGAAGGAAACCAGAACTCAAATCAACAGTTTAGAACAGAAAGAATAAAGAAACATTCAACCAGAACAGAATGAAGAAACAGCAATTCAAAAAATGAGAGGCTTAGGAACCTCCAGAAGATCTTTAAACATTTCAACTTCTGAAACATAAGGGTGTCAGAAGGAGAAGAGGAAGAGCAAGAAATCGAAAACTTACTTAAAAACAATGAAGGAGAACATCCCCAATCTGGTAAAGGAAATAGACTTCCAGGAAGTTCGGGAAGCTCAGAGAGTCCCAAAGAAGTTGGACCCAAGGAAGCACACACCAAGGTACATCATAATTACATTAGCCAAGATTAAAGATAAGGAGAGAATCTTAAAGCAGCAAGAGAGCCCTGACTGATATAGCTCAGTGGATTGAGCATGGATGGGCCTGCAAACCAACCAAAGGATTGCAGTTCGATTCCCAGTCAGGGCACATGCCTGGGTTGCAGGCCAGTTCCCAGCAGGGGACGCACGAAAGGCAACCATACATTGATGTTTTTCTTGATGTTTCTCTCCCTCTCTCCTTCCCTTCCCCTCTAAAGGTAAATAAATAAAAATCTTTTTTTAAAAAAAAAAGCAAGAGAAAAGGAGACGGTTACCTACAAAGGAGTATCTATAAGACTGTCAACTGATTTCTCCAAAGAAACCTTGAAGGCAAGAAGGGCCTGGAAAGGAGTATTCCAAGTCCTGAAAGGCAAGGACCTACATCCAAGATCACTCTATCCAGCAAAGCTATCATTTAGAATGGAAGGGCAGATAAAGTGCATCCCAGATAAGGTCAAGTTAAAGGAGTTCATCTTCACCAAGCCCTTATTATATGAAATGTTAAAGGGACTTATCTAAGAAAAAGGTCAAAACTATGAACAGTAAAATGACAACACACTCACAACTATCAACAAAACCAAAAAAAAAGCCACAAGCAAACAACTGAAGTAGGAACAGTTTCACAGAAATAGAGATCACATGGAGGGTTATGAAAGGGATGGGGAAGAATGGAGGAAAAGGTAGATGGAATAAGAAACATAAATGGTAGGTAGAAAATTGACAGGGGAGGTTAAGAATAGTATGGGAAATGGAGAAGCCAAGAACGTATATATATGACCCATGGATATGAACTAAGGTGGGGGAATGTTGGTGGGAGGGGATGGTATAGGTCAGAAGGAAATAAAGGGGAGAAAAAAATGGGACAACTGTAAGCATAATCTATAAAATATATTTTTTAAAAAAGCTATTTCAAAGCTCTTTTACTTCTACACATGGTTAAATTAGCATAAAGAGATAGAAAGTAAATTCTCTTTCTCAAGCATCCTCTCCCCTGTTCTATTATCAAAAGTTCTATTTTAACTTTTTTTTTTAGATTTTATTTATTTATCTTTAGAGGGGAAGGGGAGGAGATAGGGAGAGAAATATCACTGTATGGTTGCCTCTCGTGTGTCCCCTGCTGGGAATTGGCCTGCAACCCAGGCTTTTGCCCTGACTGGGAATCGAACTGCAATACTCTGGTTCACAGGCCCGTGCTCAATCCACTGAGATACCCCAGCCAGGGCTATTTTAACATGTTTTAATTGTCAAAGATTTGAAGGTTGTTTTTCGTGCTTTTACTTTCCTTCATTTAGAGCAGCAGTTTTCAACCAGTAAGCTGCAAGACCTTTCACAGCATGCATGCAAGCACCTGACTGTTTAGTCTGGAGCACTGACCTCCTTTCCCTTAGATGGTCAAATTAAAAAGTGACAATAGCCATCCAGTGTGAATTAATCAAAACTATACCTTTTTCTTTTATGTCACATTGGCAGAAAATGTATTTTTTGGTATGGGGCAGAATTTTAGTAGTTTTCCTGGTAAATCAGGCATAAGAGCAGAACTGCAGTTGTATTTACATTAAACACAATGTAGGTAACACATAGCTCCTATAAGATACAGTACAACTTCAACCAACAGGTAAAAAAAAGTTCTTATTGTGTATATATAAACAGTCTATAAAGTACTTTGGGAATTAAAATATAAAATAAATTATGTTCCAGACTTTATGTTTACATACTCATTTAATGAACACATGTATAGCTCTTACTATGAACCAGGTACTATTTTAAGCACCTTACAAGTATTCAATCATTTAATCTTCATAATAGCTGTTGGACTCAAAAGGGTTAATCTATAGTATTAAAAAACTTAATGACTTACTAAGCAGCAAAATCAAACTCATTTATCAAGTGTCTTTTTTTCCCATATAGTTCCTATCCTACAGGAGCTAATAAAGAAATATCCGAGTCATTATATAAAGTAAATAAGCTTACATTCTCAGTTACAGACAACCTTGTGATGTTGAACTTAGTATCATAAATGCAATTTCCAAGGCCTAATAAATATGTTTATTTAAAGCATTTTACAGTAGCAGAAAATAATTGGAAGGTTTCTTGGAGTTTACTGAAATAAAATCAGACCCTTGTTTTCATGATCTGCAAGTAAATGAATCAGGAGGAATAGCGATGGTGTCTTCAGCCACATGAGATACCATGTGAAGTCATTTGGTGTTGAGTAAATGGTGCCCTGCAAAGTAAATGTTTCTCGGTCTGTCAGCCTTACTATGAGGAGGGCAGGAAGCTAGTTCACAGTCTAAGGATATTGATTAGGAGTAAATGTTTGAAGGTAAAACCTGTGGCCTCCACTGCTCTTGGCTGTATTTTAAACTTAATTTTTGAAAGAAATGATAATTGAGGAGATTGAATATTGGGAAAGACTTTGTTTTCACACATATTTAAGAAATCAATATTGTAAAAACTTAACTCTCTTCCTTTGCCTTTAACCTTTGCATCTGTAGCAGTTGTGAGATTTTATGCATTTACCTTTGTGTCTCTACATAGAAGTTTTTTTTCTAATCTGAGTTTACTGTGATTTATCCCAGGTCCAGAAAGGATTGGTGATCTATGTGTGCTTTTTCAAGGGAGCTGATAAGGAACTTCTTCCCAAAATGGGTATGTGTTTGATGTTTCTTTTTTGAGTGAGATTGTGTAGCAGTAGGAGGTAAATTTTCAGAAGGGGTAAGTTGTAAATGACTTACAGTTGTTGACTTTAGCTATTTGCCTGTTCCAAAGTTTAAGGTAAACAAGTATGGTAGAATTCTTTTAAAATATCTGCAGCATTTCAGGTGGCTTATAGAATGGTTTAAAAGAGTGTATACACACACAACACACTGAGATTAAGACAAGGATACAGAAAATTATTGGAAGCAGGGTGGCCACATAGGGAGAAACAGATGCTGCATTTCTTAATATAGTTTTCTTATCTCCCAGAGTCCATAACAGGGACACGTAGGTGACACTGGATGTATAAGATGTGGGCCCCTTCAAATCTGGACAGCTCAAGTTGGCATCATTATCATGCAATAATTTACATTAACCCGTTATGTATTTCTTGGTAGGAAATGTGTGTGTATATATATGGTTCCCCTGATTCTTGAACCAAGCTTAGTGACATCACATCCACGCCTCATCCGGGGATAGAGAAAGCATCTTTGAACAATAATTTACCTGTCTACAGCTTTCCAGTGTACTGGATAGTCCATAGCATTGCACATTCCTTGTGATGATTACACAGGTATCAGATATACCATATTAAACCATAACTGTCTCAAGATAGTATATAGTATTTGATATAATAATCACATCCTCCAAAAAGCCCACGATAATGGTTCTATCCATAAAATTGGGGATAGGTTATGCCTCGGCCCGTGAGGCAGTCAACGGGGTCCGCCGATATACCTGTAACGGATGAAGGGGGATGGGACAGGAGGCGCGAAGAATGGCAGCAAGACAAAGGATTCTGATCAAGCTGCAAACTTTATTTTTCCGAACTGGGTATATATATAGGGGGGAGGGAGAGGAAGGAGATTAGGTTGCTTGCTATTGGCTAGCTTGAGACAAAGAAGGGCCCGCTTATTGATTACTTGGGTGCAACCAGTACTCGTGGACACCTTATGTGCCTGTAGCTGATTGGCTTGTGGAGCGCGTGCACACCTCATGTACCTGTAGCCGATTGGCTTTGTGGAGCGCACAGGTTCCTGTAATCAATGCAATGTTTTTAGCTAGAAGCCAGGTGTAAGGTTCCCAACAAGGTTAATATAGGACAGTAGCCAATAGTTTGATTAATAAGATATAAATTAGACAAGTGGGTAGTTGAATCATGCAGAAAATAACCTAAAAGAGCTTAAAGTAGTGGAACTCAAGGTAAATAGCCCAGTGAAGAACAGTGTAGACTACTCTTCCTGAAACTGGCCATAGGTGACCTCTGAAAATGGTTGGCTATCACTTGACCCAGAAAACCCCACAAAATCATGCAAATCAGGAGGTTCAAATCTTTGTGTTCACTTTAAGAACACTCATGAAACTGCCCAGGCCATCAAAGATAGGCATATTCGAAAAGCCACCAAATATCTGAAAGATGTCACTATAAAGAAGCAGTGTGTCCCATTCCATTGGTACAGTAGTGGAGGTCGTAGGTGTGCCCAGGCCAAAAAGTGGGGCTAGACACAGGGTCAGTGGCCCAAAGAGAGTGCTGAATTTTTTCTACATATGCTTTAAAATGCAGAGAGTAACTGAACTTAAGGGTTTAGTTGTAGATTCTCTGGTCATTGAGCACATCCAGGCGAACAAAGCTCCCAAGATGTGGTATAGTACTTACAGAGCCCATGGGTGGATTAACCCACACATGAACCTGCCCTGCTGCATTGAGAGGATACTTACTAAAAAAAAAAAGGCAGATTGTTCCAATTGTTTCTAAACCAGAAGAGGAGGTTGCACAGAAGAAAATATCCCAGAAGCAACTGAAGAAACAAAAAACAAAAGTTTATGGCCCAGCATAAAATAAATACTAATCCAGCATAAAAGAAATACTAATATGAGTGAAGGAAGGAATGAATGAATGAACGAACGAACAGCATAGACTAAAGGCTAAAACTCCTAGAGGGAACGTTATGCTGAGACATGGAACATCTTTGACAGTTTGTCCAAGGAAGAAAAATAGGCTTACAAAGGGACCTACGGTAGGTGAGGAGGGAAAGCAAGTAACTATAATGGATTAAAATTTGAATCTGGGGGGAATAGGGAGTTTAGAGAAAGTGAAATGAGGGCTCCTGTGCGTAGGATTACTTATCAGCACTTAATGCTTGGGAATTGGACATGCTGTTCATTTTTCTGAGTTAATATTTTTGCTTTGAATTCAATCTGTATTAACCATAAAACAGTTTAGTAGAAATCTTCAATAACAGAAAGAGAATCTTTGTCATTGTGATTTAAGACTGACTTAAATGGTTTTATATATTCTTAAATGGATCTCAGTCATAAGATGAAATGAACCAACCACGTAAGCTGCATTGTGTTTTATAGTAATTAAATCCTGTGTGCTTCCAAAACTGTCTTCCTGAGTTCACTTTGAATACATGTATAAATTGTGGTGAATTAAAAACACTGAGGAGGTTCACCTTAACTCTTTTTTTCTCTTTTTTAAAGTTATATTTTATTGCTTATGCTATTACACTTGTCCCAGTTTTTCCCCTCCCACCCAGTCCCTCAGGCAGGCAAGCAAGCAAGCCCCATGCCGTTGCGCATGTCCATGGGTCATGCATATATGGTCTCTGGCCACTCTGTTCCCAATGCTGTACTTTACATCCCCATGACTATTCTGTAACTGTTGGGAACCGCTCTGCCTGGTTTCAGGAATTGTAACTGCTCCCCATGGATAAGGCTGAGTGAGCCACTAAGGAGACAAAGCTTGTCTCTGGCAGCAACACTGCTTCTGCTTCATCCTCAGCCCCCAATGCTTGGTCGGTTAGTCTATGACAAGTAAGACCCCTCAGAGGCAGGGCAACCTAAGCCAGACACAATCACTTGGGAGGCCCTCAAGGAAGGACTCAGGGGGCTGCAACAAAGAGGGAGTGGTGGACCCTTGCCCCCCCAGCCACTCCGAAATAGCCCAAGTCCCCATTTCCGTCTGGGAGAAGCACTTCCTGGCTCTAATCCACTTAAGGCTGAAAACCTATGATGGTGAAGGCTGTGCAGCCCCTTGCTGGCTAGAGCGGGACCTGGGGTGATGGGGCATAAGAAAGAATTCGTAAAGTCCTGTGAAGCCTGCTTTGCTAAGAGTGCTTTCATTCATATGATAAGGGTCCAAGCAGGAAATGAGTATGTCTCCCAAAGTTTTGCAACCCACCTTACCTGACAGACACTGACTCAGACTAAGCCCTCAGATTTTTTTGAAATGTTAGCTACTGTTTGATCCTTGCCACCTGTATTCCTGTGTATTACAACCCAATAACAGTCCCTGGAGGAAGGGGCTCCTGGCTTTTCTCCTCTGAGAGATTGGCCACCTCTCCTCCCCAAGCAGATCATGTCTTGGTAGTTTCACTTTCATCCATGGTGGACAGGGGGGCTTTGCGGACAGAGTTGCCCCCACATGTAACTACCAATTTATACTTCTTAATCCCTTCACCCTTTTCACCCAGCCACTCACCACCACCCCTCCATTCTGGCAACCATCAGTCTCTGTATCTATGATTATGATTCTGTTTCACCTTACCTCTTAATGCATAGTCTAACATAAAGCTTTATATGTCATGTTTCTCAGTTAAGGACTGTGACTTTAAGAATCACATTCTGCTGGTGTCAGTTATAAACAAGATAAGTCCCTCTATTATGGATAGCACCAGCTTGTACTTCTCTCTGTTTCAGAAGGCAAAGTAAGCCAGTATGATGGGATTCTCTTAAACCCCACCTCATACTAATTACATGAATTCTGATCTTTTCCAGTCAAATCATGTGCCCTTGGGAACCTAAAAACCAGTTACCCATAAAGTCTAAAATAGCATGGCTAATATGCAGATGTTCTGCATCTTCCTCAATTCATCTTCAGTATAATTGGAGTGAAATCCAGGGATCTGTCAGAAGTTAACTTCCCATATATATCATAGAGAATGCTGATTGATAACCTGTCTTAGAATCTTTGAGTTTCCAACATGCCATTCATTCATTATCTCATTTTAATTCTACTTATTGACAATTTGTATTTACGTTACATTTACTTCTGCATACTGATATTTATATACCAACAGCATTAATTGAATTCTCAGTCATAACCTATAGAGGGAGTTGTATGGAAGTATAATAAATTGTGCTCTGGCCCATTATTCCAAAATCACCTTTCTACTCTGTTACTGGCCTGAGGCTTAGATAGCTAGATCGTGAGTTCCATTGAGATGAAGTGCTCTGGAGAGTTACTATTTCCTTGGAAGCAATGAATAAGGAGGACTCCTGGCTATATAGCCAAGTCCTATTTGTAATAGAGAATACTAGAGACATTTTTAAAAATATTTTTAAAATTTACTTTTAGAGACGGGGAAGGGAAAGAGAGAAACATCACTGTGTGGTTGCCTCTCACACAACCCCCTACTGGGGACCTGGCCTGCAACGCAGGCATGTGCCCTCGCTGGGAATCAAACTGGCGACCCTTTGGTTCTCAAGCCAGCACTCAATCTACTGAGCCACACCAGCCAGGGTGAGATGTTTTCAAATAGATATTAGTTAAGTGAAAATTGATAGTGTATAGCTCAGGAATTCATTGGATGGTCACCTTGGCAGTTTTACCAGGTTGATTCCCTGAGTTGTAGAGTGGGGCAACCATACCGAATCCTTACTGTAGTTTTACAGACCCTGTGACAATTGAAACCATTGACTACCCCTCCAGAAAGCTTACCTTTCCAAGCCTAAGTATTGGGCAGGAGTGTAAGGTGTATATAGTTTATGTTACCATTTGTTTTCTCAGGACTATTGTTTACAAGCAGAAGCTAGTTATACATTATAGAGGTAGAAAGAGCCTCAAGCTATTTACATTAGGCATTTCTTTTGATTATTGTTTTGAAAATGGCTAATGTTGAGATGCAAAGGTTTTCTAAGTCTAGATATTTTGGTAGACATCAATATTTACGGTGATTTTGATATGTATTAGATATGAGTATTAATTTCATAAGTACCATAAAAATAATACTATTGTATGTTCATGAAGATATCACTAACTCTAAACATTTGGATTCACTTTTTCAGTTGTAACAATGAATTTCTTTTTTTTTTCAATTCACCAAGATTTACTGAGTACCTACTATATATGTGCAAAGCTGGATGTTGACAAAATATGCATAAAAAAGGAAGATTCGATTCAATTTAACAAGCATCTGTTATGTGTAAGCGGCTAAAATTTGGCTTCTGCCTTCATGTCGTACTAGTGGGAGAGCAGCATGGCAAGATCAGGATCTGTAGATAAAAATCTAGCACAGTAAAAAAAATTGGTTGAAATTCTCCAGGTTCATTTTTGTTTGGCTGGGATGTCTACTTCCAGAATGAAAGTTACTGCTTTTATTTTCATAATGTTTTATTGTTTATACTATTACAACTGTCCCAGTATTTCCCCCCAAGTAACAATGAATTTCTGGTAATTCTCGCTTTCACCTTTACTCTTCTTCCGTGGGTTATATTTGTCTGTATTAATAGTGCCTTTGAGATGATAAAATTATAAAACCAGCTGGTTTATAATGGGATTGAACCTGGTACCTTTGTCTCAGAACTCTAGGCAACTAAGTTTAAAATAATAAAAATGCACTTAGATTTTTATTTAATATTCTTTGTTATGAAGTAGAATTTGGTGTTAGGAGGATTTATCTCAGTTTTTTTCTAATGGTTTTGCTTATGAAATGTAAAAAGGAACAAGAAGGCAAAATCTTCCTATGTATCCCCTGGGGCAACAATATTTTCAGGTTTTGGTTGACAGTTCATTTGGTCCTTTCCAGATAAATTACTCATTAGGCAGTCCTAGCTGCCACATCACATTTAAAGCATTATGCCATTTTCTGCATGAAATTTGCCTTAATTTCATGCTTAGATCATTCAGCTTAGTGAAGCCGTTTTTAAGATCTAAATAGAGACTTTGAGTAAAAAGCATGAGCTGACAAACTGGGTTTTTAAGTATGAGATCTTCCGACTTGAAAATTGTTGGTTTTCTTTATTTTTTTCTTCGTTTGTTTTTCACTTCCAAATGTTTCCCTTTCTTCCCCACCCAGTTAATACACTGTTAAATGTGAAATTAAGTGAAACAGAAAATGGCAAGCACGTCTCTGTATTGGATCTACCTGGCAACATTCTGATTATCCCTCAAGCCACCCTTGGGGGCAGAGTAAAAGGAAGAAACATGCAGTATCACTCTAACTCTGGAAAAGAAGAAGGGTTAGAACTTTATTCCCAATTTGTGACTCTATGTGAAAAAGAATTAGCTGCTAACAGCAAGTGTGCGGAAGCTGGAGTTGTGGTGGAACATGGCACTTATGGGAACAGGCAAGTGTTAAAGCTGGATACCAATGGACCATTCACACACCTGATTGAGTTTTGAAAAATTAAGTTGCTTTCTACAACTGTTCCTGGTATAAAATGACCTGGACTATCTTAGATCCCCCCACCCTCACCCCCCGCTGCCACCCCTTCTTCGTGAATAAACTGATCTGCAGCATTTTTAGACAAGAAATCTTGGGTCCCATTCATAACTCTGCAGCCTGCTAATTGAATGATCTTGCTTTGCTAGTCACGTAAAGTCTGGACCTCAGTCATTAATCATTCTGCTTTTCCCTACACTTTGACTTGAAATTTTGAGAAATGCTTTCTATTTACTTCATGGTCATTGTGGAAATGTTTTTAGAGAACTGTATTTTAAGTATTTTGCAATGAAGAGTTTTGGGCAATCAAGAAAAATACATTTCAAAAAGAAGAATATATTTCTTGTACCCTTAAATTTATGTAGTGTGTAAGAAAAATAACAAAATTGGGGAAATCTAGCACAAACCAATTGTAGTTTTGTTTTTACTATTCAGTTTTCTATATTTTGAATGAAAGACTGAAATTTATTATTCCTTTTAATATCTATGAAAATGTAATATGGAAATGTTACTGTGTACTATATTACTTTCCAAGCATATCCAAATATTTTAAAATTATTTTAAGAATGTTTAGTTGACATGGAACAGCTATGAGGTAGTAAAAGTTGTTTTTATTTAATATACCAATGGGTTAGTATTCTATTTCTCAGTTTTTTACCAAAACAATGTATGTCTCATATTTTGTCTTCCCTTTTTTTCCCACTCCAACCAACTGAGCCACTCAGCCAGGGCTGTCCTTTGCTTTTAAAAGTTACTGCTTCAAGAAACTAGTGTTAGTGTATATGGTAATGTTTTTAGGAAGTTCCTTTGTTGTTGAGTTAGATAGGGAAGAAAAAGCGAAGCCTTTCTACTGCAATTATTTGCAAACAAGGTCACTTGTTCATTTTCATATTATCTACTTAATGATTTGAAGGCAGCTTAATTTTTTCTGTTAGTGAACTTGCCTGTTGCCCACCCCCCACCTCAAAATTTATATGTTGAAGTCACCGACAGGATGGTATTTAGAGATGGGGCCCTTTGAAAGTAATTACGGTTAATGAGGTCATGGGAGTGGCGTCTTCATAATGGGATTAGCATCCTCATAAGAAGAAACACCAGGAGCTTGCTCACTGTCTCCCTCCGGGTGAGGATACAGTGAGGAGGGGCCACTTACCAGCCAGGAAAAGAACCCTGACCAGAAACTAACCTGCTGCCACCTTGATCTCAAACGTCTAACCACCAGGACTCTGAGAACATAAATTTCTGTTTAAGCCACCTAGTTTATAGTATTTTGTTACGACAGCCCAAGCTGAGATAGTGACAAAAGATAGCTAGTCGAGTGAACTTTTTTCAAAGGTAGGAGAGGAAGATGTGTAAAAAAAAAATGAAATAATAAATGAATCAATAAAATGTTAAAGTCATTTTTTTGCAAACCCCTCTGACATAATTTAAAAAGATATTTTGCTGCCCTGTCTGGGTATCTCATTTGGTTGGAGTGTCATCCCAATATGCCAAGGTTGCAAGTTCAGTCCCTGGTCAGGGCACATACAGGTGAGTGGATGGATAGGTGGAGTAACAGGTCAGTATTTCTCTCTCTTTCTCTAAAGTCAATAAATAAAAATTAAAAAAATAAAAATAAAAAGATTTTTCTTATGTGGTTTTAATTTGCATCTCTCTGATGATTAATGACATTGAGCATTTTTTCATAGGTCTGTTGGCTACCCGCATGCCCTCTTTGAAGAAGTGTCTTTTCGGGTCCTTTACCCAGTTCTTAATTGGGTTTTTTGTCTTGGTGTTGAGTTGCATAAGGTCTTTATATATTTTGAAAATTAAACTCTTATCAGATATATCATCGGCAAATATGTTCTCCCATTCAGTGGGTTCCCTTTTCATTTTGTTGATGGTTTCTTTTGCTGTGTAAAAACTTTTTAGTTTGATGTAGTCCTGTTTGTTTATTTTTGCCTTATTTCACTTGTTCAAGGACATATATCAGCAAAAGTATTGCTGTGAGAAAGGTCTGAAATTTTATTGCTTAAGTTTTCTTCTAGGATTTTTATGGTTTCAAAATTTACATTTAAGTCTTTAATCCAATTTTAGTTTATTGTGGGAAATGGTGTAAGTTGGTGGTCTGGTTTCATTTTTTGGCATGGTATCTGTCCAATTTTCTTAACATCATTTGTCAAAATGACTGTCATCAATAAATCAACAAATACAGAATCTAAAGAACTTGTGACACATGGACATGAACTAAAGGGGAATGAGGGGAGTGGGTATGCAGGGTAGAGGGGAATGAAGGGGGAAATGGGACAACTGTAATGGCATAATCAATAAAACATTTTTAAAAAATAAAAAATAAATCAACAAACAAGTGCTGGCGAGGATGTGGAAAAAAGAGAACCCTGGTGTCTTGTTGGTGGGAATGCAGACTGGTGCAGCCACTGTAGAAAACTAAATATAGAGTTTTCTCAAAAAATTAAAAATCAGATGCCTTTTAACTGAGCAAACACGCTTTTGGTGATACATCTGAAGAAACCTGAAACACTAATTTGAAAGAACATGTGCATATGCATCCCTGTGTTCTTTGCAGCATTATTTGCAGTAACCAAGATCTCAAAGCAGCCTAAGTGCCCATGAGTAGATGAGTGGATAAAATAGCTGTGGTACATTTATACATTGGATTACTACATGGCCATCAAAAAAAGGAATGTTGGAAAGATCTGGAGATTATAATGCTAAGTGAAATAATCCTGTCAGAGAAAGAAATACCATATGACCTCACTTATGTGTGGAATGTAATGAACAGAATAAACCGACAAGCAAAACAGAAACAGAGGCATGGATACATGGAACAGACTGACAGCTGTAGGAGGGGATAGGCTTGGATGGAAGAAGGCTGTTGAAGGCCTGGATGGAAGAAGAGGAAGGGATTAAACAAATGAACACAAAGACAACACTGTAGTGATAGCTAGAGAGAAATGGGTGTGGGGGTAGGTGGAGGTGGGGAAAGGGGGGATAAATGGGGACAGAAGGAGACTTCACTTTTGCCTGTATGCACAGAATGAATGCAGTGTGCAGATGATGTTTTGTTGGGTTGTACACTTGAAACCTGCATGAATTTGTGAACCAATGTCACCCCATTAAATTAAATTTAAAAATAAAGAAATTATAAGGATAAAGATAAATTATTTTAAAGAGTAAAAAGTAAAAACCAAATAATTCTAATTACCAAAAAGATGAAGGGATTAACTAGAATAAACTTAAGTAAATGCTGAAAATTCGTAGTCTTGTTATTTCTTTAAGTCTGTATTCCTAAGATACTTTAAATTTTTATCACAAAAAATCATATTTTTTTTATATTCTTCCTGTACTATTTTAGAAGTTGAGAATCAATATCTGGCTTGGTAATGAACTCTTGTCCTTAACTTTTGCTGTATTGATTCACAATACACTTACTGAAATGTAATAAACTATTCATAAACTTGCAAACTCCAATTTTATCAAAGCTTCTCCAAGGAGCTGTATATATCTTTCAAAAAGATTATGTGTTTCCTATTTTAAATTATTTTGATTTTGTGTGTAGGTAAAATGCTGACTCATAGCCCTAGACTGCTATTTTATAGTTCAGACAATTATCCTTTTTTAAAAGATTGCTTGAGAATAACAGTTTCGACCACATGAAGGGTTGTGAAGCATAAAGTGATGGCCAACTCTTTCCAAGGAGGCTAGAACGGGAGGCAAGGGCAAAAGAAATAGTGGATATGAGAATAACTTCACCTTGGCTTTCTATAGCTTCTCTGGCCCAAGGTGCTCAAAGAACTTTAAATAAAAATCTCATTCAGTCTTCCCAGGGCTGTGGAAAGTAAGACAATGCTTAAATAATTTTCCCAAGGTCACACAGTAGGGAGGAATAATTTCCATCTTCCTGACTTTTCTTAAAATTGTTGAAATTGATCATAATGAAAGTTTAGCATTTCTCAGCATTGATCTTTTGATAAAAAATAGCAAATACTTTTTTAAAAGATTTTATTTATTTTTAGAGAGAAGGGAAAGGAGGGAGAAAGAGGAGGAGAGAAACATTGATGTGTGGTTGCCTCTTGTGTGCCCCCTACTGGGGGCCTGGCCTGCAACCCAAGCATGTGCCTTGACTGGGATCGGACCAGCAACCTTTCAGTTTACAGGACAACACTCCAACCACTAAGCCACACCAACCAGGGCACACCTTGAGGACTTTAAAAGTCCATTTTGATAAACCTCCATTTATTTTTCCTCCTATTTCCATTCCTTTTTTTGCAGACCATATTCAGGGTAATGTTTGTACAACATTTCCAGTGTTCAGAAACCTCTAACTCTTTTTTATCTACAGGACAAAGTCTAAACTTCTAAGGTTGGTGTGAACACTCTCCATACTCCAGGAGTGAATGAATTCCTGCAGGGAAAACTGTAGAGGACCAAAGTGAGCATCTTGAGAAAACAAAGAAAGGATAACATATAAGAAGCCAGAGGACGACACTAGAGTAGTCTCCCCCAGCCACAGTTTTGCTTTCCATGGTTTCCGTTACCCAGAATCAACTACAGTCCAAAAATAGTAAATAGAAAGTTTTGGAAATAAGCAATTCATATGTTTTAAATTACATGCCATTCTTAGTAGTGTGACGAAGTCTCGTGCCATCCTGTTTTATCCAGCCTGAGACATAAATCTCTCCTTGTCTGTGTGTCTAAGCTCTGTACATTACCTGCCACTTAGTCACTTAGTAGCCATCTCTAATAACTCTTGATCTTGGTTATCAGATCAGTTTTCAGAGAGAGAAAGAGAGACCACATTTACTTAACTTTTATTAAAGTATATCATTATAATTGTTACATTTTATTATTTGTTTTTACTCTCTTACTGTTCCTAATTTGTCAATTAAACTCTATCATTGAATGTATAGGAAGAAAACTTTTTGAAATTTGAGTACTAGCGCTGATTTCAGGTACCCACTGGTGGTCTTGGACCATATCTCTCACAGATAAGGGGGACTACTGTAATAGAGATCAGAATGGTAGAGAGAACCAGAAAAATGCATTGTTAACAGAAGATAGTTTTCAGGATGTACGGTAAGCAATGACAAAGTCGGTGCCAAATACTGAAGAAAAACTGAATAAAAAGACAGAGATCTCTGAGCCCAGCAGTTAGGTGTTTTTGAGCTTATGGGAAATGGGGGTGTGTGGCATTGCAACCCTTCAAGGCCTGGCAGGTTCGTGGTATTTGTGCAGACGGAAAATATTCATGGAGCCATTGGGATGTCTGGCATGCCTTTATTCACGGGTGGGCAAGCCACACACACTGCAAGCTGCGTGTCGATCAGCATGTCATATTCCTTGCTCCCTGGTGTGGCAGCCATCGCGGCACCTGTCCCCTTCCCTGTCTCTCATCATCACCCCAGCAGGGAGTCCCTACCTGTTTAAGTACTAGAGGGAAACAAAGCCAGAAAACTGCCAGGACGTTACATTACATAACATAATTCTGCACATGCAAGCCCACTTCATGTTATGGGAATAGTTTATCAGACTCAGTCTCAAGGCTATGAGAACACTGAGGCCCATGAAAGGCTATGAGAACACTACTTCCCTTGGTTACCCAGACACCTGGGTGAGGAAGCCAGACTACCTCCACTTACCCTACAGGGAGTAACATTTCAATAGCTAGTAGAAGTAAAGATTCTTAACCTTTTGTTTTAGGTCAGTGTGTCTCAAAGTATGCCGGTGGACCGCCTCCACAGAAATCACTTGGGGAGCCCAACAGTTTCACAAAGTGCAGTTTTCTGAGACCATCCCAAACTCTGAATTAGAAACTCAGAAATGAATATCTGTCTAGTCACCAATCTCCCCCAGGTGATTCTTGTGTACACGGGAATTCCAGAAACACTCAGAATGAAGGCCAGACCTGTAAGGCTGGTATCGTAGTTCTGCATTCTAACCCCTTTTCCCACTACTCCCCTATAGAAACTCTCCAGTATAGCTCTATTGATATTTGTCTTAGATCATACCTCTACCTAAGTTGCCCTCTGCTCTGCCGAGGGCAGATACTGAATCCATCATCGTTCAGTATCTAGCTCAAGTCAATCTCTTCTGACCCCACAGTAATGTCTCCTGCTTCTACCTTCCTTGGGATTGTGTTATTCCATTCTTGACATTTGTGATGATATTGAGTTCTTCAGCTTTAATTGTTTTATGTTTACCTATATTGACTGCAAAAGTATAAAAATACTGGATAGAGACAATATAATAGCATATGAAGTATAATATAATTTTTTTCATCTCCCACAGTACTCCCATGGTACTGTGTGTGTTGTCCGTGCTCAGTAATTCCCACCAATTACTCGTGACTGGTGTGGCTCAGTGCATTGGGTGTCGTCCTACAAACTGAAAGGTTACTGGTTCAATGCTCAGTCAGGGCACACACCTGGGTTGCAGACCAGGTCCCCCTGGTTGGGTGCGTGTAAGAGGGTTCTCTCTCACATCGATGTTTTTCTCCCTATCTTTCTCCCTCCCTTCCCCTCTCTCTAAAAAATAAATAAAATATTTTAAAAAATAAAGTAACACATCTGAAAAATAATAATTCTCAGTAACTGTTACCTGAATTAATATGGAGATAGGTCATTGGACAGAGTACCCTTGATTTTGGTTCAGTTATACTAGTCTTTATACGTGTAGATTTCTTTGCTGTTAGGCATAAAGACAGGTTGGACTGTGCAGGAAGCACGTTTAATACAGTTGCACTTGCCTTTAATACAATAGATAACACTAGAAAAATTAGAGATAAACTAAAACAGATTTTTTGATATTCAGCACAAATGTGGCCATTGCTGGTTCTATTTTATTATATCAGAGTGGTCCCTTTACATTTTCTTAGGGTTCACTTTATAATATCTTTCTGTACAGCATAACAGTTCTTATGTAATAGCTCTGTACCTAAAGAAGTTACTTTTACAAAGTCATTCTTATAGAAAGGAAAAACTATTTCATTTAAGAAAACCTAAAAAAAAAAAAAAAAAGAAAACCTGAGCTTGAGTCCTTTGGAAAACAAACTTTGTGAACCAAATAAAAATGTCTGTGTTATTTATAAAAATGAATTTTGATGCAGCAACCTCTATTGGACCCCTCTATACTGAATACAAAATAAAGCAGTTTGTGGGATGGTCACAAATGGCCAACTTCACAGTAAATTGATCCTACTTCTTTTTACCGAGCTTTTCCATTGAATGAATTATTTGCTCTGGGTTAGCCAGCATTTTTCTTGTAAGAAGCCTAATAAAATTTGATCTGTTGCATCAGCTGTTTTTCTGAGTGTGAAAAGAACAATTTATGAAGAGAATGCATCACACCACACCCTATACAAGTCTCTCTGAGAACCATTAGCTAATACTATTATAAACAGTTGAGGTTGGGAAAGTACTTGCAGACTTTTTTTTTTAAGGGGATCTAGGGAGGTTTTTAATAAATGTCTGACCATACCAGCAAAAATGCCATCTTTGGATCCAACTTTCAGATTCTGTTTACTTCGTTTTGTACTAACATAAACTAAGGCACACTTTGTACTCCAGGTACTTCTAATTTACTTTTCAGCCCAGGGTAAGTCTCTTTATGAATAGAGGTAATCATTTTCAAAGTTCAGTTTTCTCAGTGCTTGGATTATCTTCTCTCTTGAGTACATTCAGATAGTTCTCATTAGCTTTGATTTCTTTTCATTATATGCATACTTGCCTTTTTAAGCCAGATATTGAAAGATTTCTGACATTTGCTTAATACCGCATCATAGATTGTTGCTCTCCACTTAAAGGTTGTGCACCCGCATCTCACCCTTCACCTATGGAATCAGAATTTCTGAGAAAGGGCCTGGGATCTGCATGTGAACAGTCACTTTTCCCACCTGTGACTCTTACACAGACTGGCGTCTGAGAGCTGATGGCATAGTGGTCAGTACCTCTGAAC